CTACACTGTATAATTGTAAAGATAATTAAAAAAATTTTTAAATTTCTATCCTTGGGATTAGAATAAGTGTGTTATATAGGAAAATAGATTTATAATTATTAGAAAACATACATGTCAACATAATGGAATAATCGTCATCCGGAATAATTGATCTCACCGCGTACTTACTAGCTTTGGCAGTCATAAAACTATCAATATTGCTTTCGATGTATTTAATGACTGGTACAAGTTCAAATGTAAGTGCATAGTTTTCGTTTTTTGTGTCAGAGATTGCTCTTTCGAATACAGATTCAAGATCTTCTTCGCCTTTGTGAAAAATTGCTCCTAAAAGTGTATTAATAAATGAAAAATTAATTAAAAAATTAATATTATATATATTTGTTGTAAAGAATAAATATAAATAAATGTACTGAATTATTATTAGGTGTTGGAATTAATTCGTAGCGTTTTTAATGAAAGAATGTTATTTATTTCACATGAGTATTAAAAAATACATTAATGAAAGTACTTCCCATCACTTGTAAAACGCTACGAATTAATTCCAACACCTAATAATTAATAAATTTGTTAGTGATGATTATTTAAGGTAAAAAGATTTGTATATTATCACAATTAATTTTTTAATTATATTTTTAAATAATTATTATATGTATTTATTTTAATAATAATACTAGTATAGATAAATAAAATAAAAAATAAATAAATAGCTAATACTAGTTGACTACGTATGAGTTTCCAATTTACATTACGCATATCGGATCAATATAAGAGTACGTCCTGCAGTTTATAGCTAAACATTGAGCCGCGAGCCGAGCCTACGTTCACATTCAAAGATATGCTACATCCACATTATCGAAATGAATATAGAATATACGTCAAATCTTTAAAGGTGGACGCAGGCTGTGCTCGCGGCTTGATGTTCAGTTTGATAATCGGCACACACCCTTAAGTAACAAGCGCATGAACATCGCTAAAAATATTTCTCTTGTGTGACTTTGTGAATATATACTGATATGAGAACCAGGATAAATTAACTTTTTTTTAAATTAAATTAAATTAAAGTTAACAGCCTTGAAAATTTAATTAAATTAAAATACAAATTATAATCCATATAAATAAAATTAATTGAATTAAAAATTAAGTTAATAAAAAAAATAATTAAAAAGTTAAAAGTTAAATTTGGTTTGAACAAACAATCATAAAAAAAGAAAAAGTTTGACTATTTTACATAATTTTTCGTATTTTTCCTTTTTATTAGCTTATTTATTTAAAAAATCTGGTTGTTTTTGTTCACAAGTAACGATTATACAATATAAAATTACTAAATTATATATTCATTAGCTTTTCGCATTGTATCTAAGGATTTAAAAAAAAATCAAATTAAAAGTTAATAGTTACTGATAAAATGTAATTCAATTAAGTTAAAAAGTTAAGAGTCTAAAATATAATTAAGTTAAGTTAAAATTAATTAACTTTTTAACATTTTAACGTAATTTTTAGCTTTTTAACTTAGTATCTGATTGTAACACTCTGATTATAACGTCCAAAATTCATTACTAATGAACTTTAATTAAAAATTATTTTATTATAAATTTTTTTACTTTCTTTTGTATTGATATATTTTTTTATGTTAAATATGCTTTTTCCGTTTTATTTTATTTATGACTTGACATAACGTTATTACATATAGCGTTTTTTAATGATGTAATGACGTAATTTGTCATAAAAAAAGAAGATAATTGATAATTTATATAGTCGGTTGTTATTTAATTTTAATATGTATGTGACAGTCGCTAAAAATGGAATATTATATTAACTCTAATTAATATTCTAATTAATATTCGTTTTCAAAATTTTCTTAATTGATATTTACAACTTAACTTAACTGATATTACAGTTTATTGTACTTTAAATTAATATATCTTTGCTTGAAGTTAATGTAATTAACAGTTTTTTCATTATGAAAGCAAAAATTTGAGAAATAATATTATGTAATTTAAAATTACGTAAGGTTATAAAATAAATATTTGTTATAAACAATTTTTCACAGTATAGTTGAAAGAAATGGGTTCGTAAATACTGATTTAGTTTAAAATGCTTTTTACATTTATGTAGGTATCAGTAGAGTAGATTATCATAGAGATTTTGGTCTTCGTTAATTCGGTTGTTAAATGATTTTTTTGAAGATATGCAAAATTTCCACACATTATGAGCAATATATTTTTTTAAATTTATTAATTTTGTAAACAAGGATCAGTCCTTACCGATTTTTATTGATTGCATCTGACCGTGGTTACATAATGTTATCACTAACAAAAATAATGTAATCAAAAACAGACACTGTCGTGGATCCATTTTAATAAATAATACAAACGTGAATTTATTTGATAAAATATATTGAGCGTGTTAATTAAGACACAATAGTATAATACGACGCGACGTCAAATATGCGTCTGCATTTGTACGTCACACTTCGTATACTGCAATACTTTAAATAATTAAGAGCTAGAAATAAGATGTTAATTTCAGATTTTTTTATCGCGTGTAGGTAATTCCTGCTTTTTTCCCCTTTGGATGACACAAGCTAATTCTTTATTTTTTTTTTAGCTTTTTTAAGTTTTAACAATTATAATGCTATTATTGACATTATTATCCATCCACGCAGTTTAGTGATATTATTATTTTCAGTTTATAGTTTAAGTCTGATAGTAAGTTACGCGCAGTTTACAGATAAAAGATGTATTTAGAATAAAAAAATACTATTAGGCATTTCTCAAAATCTTACCTCGACTGTATTGTCATTTTCTAACTTATTTCATTTATAAAGTTTTATTTTTATTTTTATTTGGATATATAACTTACAATATAGAACGCTCTAAAATATATCAAGTTCTCTTTATCTTTAAAAATAAAAATTTACATCTTGCTTTTAGTGAGAACCTCTTGAACGGTTTGGTTGAAATTTGAATATCTACAGTCGATGAAGCAAATTCCATTTCTGTTTGTCGGCGAACTATACTTGTACGAACTGTTGTAAAAGATTTTACAAGGTGGCACCGTAAACATTTTAAAATAATATTACGAAAGTCGCGCATAAGAAGCGAATATTTGGGTAAAAACTATTTATCCCGAGCAGCAACTAACAGAATCCTCTAATTCAGTCACTAGAATCCCTACAGGAAGAAATGTACTTCCACGCTTATACGTGTTGGGACTCCCTCTTTAATGGAGACTTTCCAGGCTATGGAAGATAAGACTAGAGAAGTAATGTTTTTCTGATAAATATGAGGCTTTCACTTTTATTCCAGACTCAAATTCCATAGATAGTAGGAAAATCCTAAGAAATTCCGAAGAAATAAACTTCACGTTTAAAAAAGCATTTCAAGTTGAACTAGACACTTTAATGTGCCTGTACATAGACGGTTCCAGATCTAAAGATAGTCCGTATGTGAGTTTTATGATTATCTCACATGAGTCAATTTCCCTTAAGTTTAAAACGACAGGATTTGTATTCTTTTACTGTGTAGAATCTATAGCGATTCTGGAAGCTTTAACCATGGGTTTTGAACATGCGTGGCTCAAAATTATTATTTTCTCGGACTCAAAATCTGTCATTTTTGTGGTGGAGTCCCTGTATGATCATAGTCACAGCTCATATTTGATTCCATACAAATTAAAACTTGATTAATTAAATTAAAGAAGGAAAGGGTATAAATGTCAAATTAATCTGAATTCCTAATCACCGAAGGGTTAAGAGTAACAACAAATTCGATCCAGAATAGATAAACAGGTTGATACCTCTCACAAAGGAATTTATAGAAAAAAAGGGCGATTTAAGACCTCCATTCTTGGGCTTCCAATGAGACGTCGCGTGATGCATTCTATTGCAATAATTTCATGTGTGATACGACATAAGGTCTAAGAATTTTAATTTAGATAGGAGGACGGTAGTCACTATTAATAGGCTTTGATGTAATCACTCCTCACTTAGAGCAAACCCAATCACATTCGAGATCGTGGATTATCCCCTCTGAAGTGCGGAGAAATAAAGACAATAATAAATCATGTTTTTTTGGAAATGCAAGGTCTAGGAAAGAAAACGTCGAATTTTGACTAAGCAAGAAACGTCTCCCTCACCTTACCATATATATTTTAGCTATCCTAGACAAAAGTATTATAATAGAATAGATAAAGGAGCATAAAGGCCAATTCGCAAGATATACGTGCAAATGTATGATAAATAATTTCATTTCGGCAACTAGTTTCATCGTCCTACATAATTATTTTGATAGTCCAACAAAATTATTTTCAGATATTTATTTAGCTAAATTGTTAGACACTTTAATAAAACTGTCCTATTTGTACAGAAATTAGACGAATTCTTTAAACATTGGCATAAGTGAAACTCACACAATTTGCATGCCGTTATGTCATTAAGGTAACTTTATGTAATTTACACGATTCTTGAAAGAGAAAGGTAGAGAAGAAGATACAGAAGACGTTGAAATTCACGTTGCTATTAAACGAAAGTGAATCCGGTATATCCGTGTGAACCACGACATGAACCCGCCGCATAATGCGAATTCACGCCTTACAAACACCACATCATCCGCCGCGATGACCTTGACGTGACCTTCTTTTGAATTGAATAACCTTAACAATCTCGTCGGAGTCTCGCGAGGGCGAATGTGAACGTCCTTTGCCCACGATGGAAACCATACGATTCCCGAAGAATGCGTTACATTACCGGACGGCACACAAGCATTAAAGCCGGATTTAATAAGCGGTTTCGTCTTTCGGTTAATGTGCGATGCAACTGTTGATTGGAGGTTTAATTAGTATAATTGGTGTCGACCGATGGCTAACACGTTACAGTAAAACGTTTCGAGATTTATCACCGTCGATAGCTTTGATCAAAGCCATCGACAGCATTAATGAACGCCAGACATTTTGCACTTGTCAGACAAAGGCAGTGATATTATTAACTTATAAAGGTGACGATTTTATATTTATATTTTTTAAAAAATTATCTAATAAGAGTATCTAATATGTTAGAAATAAGACTGTCACATAAATAAGTCAATTAATTATAAGTAAGAGAAGTTACTTACTTACTTACTTAAAAAAATCAGATGTTGGAATAATGTGTATTTATATATATATATATATATATATATACATATATATCTAATTAAATTTAGATAATACTTTTCGCAATAAGTTTTTTACAGTTTTGAAGATTCTAGTAGCATCGAACTAACGATTTAATTAAATTTTGAGATTTTGTTGGTATTTCGGATTGATTGTATTGGAAGTCCGAAAATCGAGACGCAATCATATTTTTTAGATAAAAATTTATTTAATATACATATATGCATCTCATAATTTAACTTTAATCGTAATTGGCGCTTCTCATATTTAGTTGATTTATTCATATAAACAGTCCTCTTTCTAATCTTAATTATTGTAAATAAATTTATGTTAGATATGCACATGGATTATTACTGTAAGGCCCGGTTTTTCATTACTTGATTAACTTGAGGCTTAACTAATGAGCTTCATCTGATAATGAATGAAGTTGAGTATTTTATGTCAGCGACTGTAGGTGAATCGAAAACTGTTCATTTTTTTGTACTAAAATGTTTTGTTTAGCAGGTCAGCTATAACATATGAGAAAATCATTTGATTTCACCGGGATCCAATTTCATGTAAGATTAGTGTGAGGGATCTTTTGAAGTAAGGAGACGATGTAT